ATAACAAATTCAACTAGCATTACAACCTTACTACACAAATCTATTTTTATCGCAAAATATTGAAACTAAAAATGCCATATTATAGATCTAATGCATAGAGAATTTCACAAGGATTCCAAAAAGTCCTCATTTGCTATTTTACGAATTTCCAAAGATTCAGCAAATTTACTGCAAACATGTCCTTATCGGCACTATTCATTTGAGTGACAGACTTCGCAGTTAGACCCTTCCATTTTGTCAAATTTGAGCCCGAGGCCCCTGGTCGGAATTAAAAGCAGTGGAGCATGCCGGACTTGCTGTTGCCGGCCGAAGGAGGCTCGTCGGTGGCGGGGGATGGGTCGTCGAGGTCCGAGGCACCTGTACTTACCCGAAGGTGGCTTCGGATCGGCCAGAGCCTGCCCGTGGCCTCCTGGCCACGCGCACAGGCGCCCGCGGCGGCCACGGCACCGGCGGCCGCGCGCTACGGCAGCGAGGAGAGGCCGGGGAGGGGTGCGCCGGGTAGAGAAGGAAGAGGCGAAGCTGTTGGTTCACGAGGTTGGTCATGAGGGGGCTCGGAAGCTAGGGAACGGCGGCGACGGCGAGCTCGGCTACGGCGTCCATGGCGGCGGCGTCCAGGAGCGCACGCGCGTCGCCAGAGAGCGAGGAAGAGCGAGTGAGGGAGAGCGAAGAAGCTCGAGCGCTTGGTTTGAAGAAGCAGGGGCGCGGGTGCACGCGTCGGCGATGGCGAGGGCGAGCTCACGCATGGCTGTCACGCTCACGGACACGCGTCGCCCATAGAGGCAATTCAGCGAACAGGTGGCATGCGCCAGAGTGGGGAAGGTGGGACGCCGTTTTGGGCTGGCTCGGATCCGAATTGGTCCATGGGCCTAAAATTAAGTTTTCTGTACTCGGCCCGCTCTACATTTTTCATTAAGAGACCAAGGTCATTAGAGCTCTAGATCAGCGAGTAATTATGCCCCAAAGTGATAGTGTCAGCACGTTGACAGCAATTAACAAAACTCCAAAATTGATGGTCAAAACGAAGTCCAACGAGTGTGAAGGGTCGAGATGGCGGACTAGAGGGGGGGTGAATAGTCCTTTTAAAACTTAATCACGTCGGCTAACCGATATAAATGCGGAATTAAAACAATCGGTCTAGCCAAGACTACACCCCTCTATATATGTTCACTAGCACCATGCAAAGATACTAATAAAGCAACTAAGGTGCCGGGCTAGCTAGAGCTCTCCTAAACAATTCTAGGAGCAAGGTCACACAAACCTATGCCACTAGTACTTTAAGTAACAAGGGAGCTCCTACACATGCTAGTAAGCAAAAGCACAAAGCTAACTAAGCTCACTAGCAATGCTCAATAACAAGGCAACCAACGCCTAATTAGAGAGCGCAAATACTTAGCTACACAAACTAAGCAATGTGACTAACAAGGTTACTAAAACCAAATTAGCCACGCAAGGGAGCTACTTCTATGCTACACAAGCAAGAAGGTAACTAGTAAGCTACACAAGCTAACTAATTACAAGAGCAACTACACAAGCTTAAGATATATAAAAGTAATTGCAAGCTTGTGTAATGGGGATGCAAACCAACGGGAAGAACAAGGTTGACACGATGATTTTTCTCCCGAGGTTCACGTGTTTGTCAACACGCTAGTCCCTCAAGCAGTCGACCAGCTCACTTGGTGGTTCGGCTACTAATTAGCATCACCCGCTAAGCCCGCACGTCGGGCACCGCAAGAAGAACCTACCCCTTGAGTGAGGGTAGCTCGGTGACACGCTTTACTAGAGTTGCTCTTCGCGGCTCCCATGGCGCAGAGCACAATGCCCCTCACAAGCACTTCTCCGGAGCGCCGCACAAGCTTCTTGCGCGGCGCTTCGACGGAGACCACCACTGCCCGCCTAGGAGGTGGCAACCTCCAAGAGTAACAAGCACCACCGGCTCGCAACTCGATCACCTAGTGCCACTTGATGCAACCTCACGATGCAATCGCACTAGAATCGCTCACTCACACAATCGAATGATCGCTATCAAGTATGTGTGTGATGGAGGGCTCCCAAGCACTCACAAGCATGGACACTAAGTCCCTTGAGGTGCTCAAGCACCAGCCATGGCCGAGGGCCACTTCTATTTATAGCCCCAAGGGCTAAACTAGCCGTTACCCTTCATCGGGCAACAGCGGTCGGGACGACCGGACGCTCCGGTCGTGTTGACCGGACGCTGGACCTCAGCGTCCGGTCGCCCGCAGACGGCCACGTGTCCTCTGCGTTCAACGGTCATCTTCCGATCCCAACGGTCATCTGCCGACCGGACGCAGCGCCTTCAACCGACCGGACACAGAACCCCGGCGTCCGGTCGTTTCCGATAAGCTCGAGCATGACCGGACGCGTCTCCGGTCGAACGCGATCGGACGCAGCCAGCGTCCGGTCACTCTCCGCCATCGCTATACTCCACGTCGGCGCGCGACCGAACGCACTCGCCAAATGTCCGGTGCATTCGAGATCGGCGTCCGGGCCGGGTTGACCGACGCCAAAGATCTTCGCGACCAACTCGTTCTCACTTCTAACTTCTTCACCCTTGCTCCAATGTGCTAACCACCAAGAATTGCATCCGGCGCAATAGAAAATAGGCATTCCATTTTCCCGCGCGTTGAATCCCTTCATAAGCTTCGGCGGGAGGGAGAGAGGACCCAAACCCATCTCACCCTCGCAAACACCACCTCCTTTGTAAATGTGCCAACACCCCCAAGTGTACACCATCATGTGTATGTGTGTAGCATTTTCACAATCATTTCCCAAAGGATGTTAGCCACTCAACTTGCCACGCCACTCGATCCTAGCGACAATGCAAAGTTAGATCACTCAAGTGGCACTAGATGACCGATATGCAAACAAGTTTGCCCCTCTTGATAGTACGGCCATCTATCCTAAACCCGGTCATAAACTTCTCTACACACCTATGACCGGTGAAATGAAATGCCCTAGGTTATACCTTTGCCTTGTGCATTCCATTCCATCTCCTTCAATGTCGATGCAACACATGCACCAACACGATCAACAATGATATGATCCACTTCATATCATCACATGATCATATTGGTTCATCGATCTTGACTCCACTTGCTCTTCACCGTTGCCATCGTCCATCGGCGCCAAGTCTTGCTCAAGCTTCACCGCCACGCGGTCCATCACTCCAAAGCCTTCGACTTGCCCTTCACGCTTGCAACCGGTCCATCAAGCCAAGTCATGTCTTGATCTTCTCCACCTTGATCACATGACTCAATGTCATGTCTCATGTGCAATAAGCTCCTTCATCATCACATGTGTGAGCTTTGCAACATCTCCAAGCCATTTTCACCTTCATGGCATATGTTGCTCACACACATGTACCTGTGGACTAATCACCTGTGTATCTCACATAAACACAATTAGTCCACCTAGGTTGTCACTCAATTACCAAAACCAACAAGGACCTTTCAGAGTGCCATCTTTTTATATGCTCTTCTCCATGAACTTAGCTCCAACCTTTATTTTGGGGTCAAGTCGAGTTGCTTAACGGAATTTGGAGAACGCGGAATGCCAATGTCGACGACGAGTCGACGATGAATTCCAGACTTAGAAAAATTCCAAGTACCGAAAACAGCTGTCGATTCAACATTTGAGCCTCGATTCGCCTTAGTTCCAAGTTGATCTAGCTCTTGGTCCAAAAACAAAGTTTGTTCTACTCTACTCAAACCTCAACTTTTATTTAAGGTGCACCTCCATGCAAGCACTGTAAGTGATTGGTCAACACAGGTCAAAGTAGCATCACGGTAAAGCTTAAATCCAAGTTTTAGACCGATGAAGGTATTTTCTTGTCCTCCGCTCAACACGAACCCTTCATGACTTTTGTTGTAGAGTTCAATTAGAGTCATTTGGGTAAGGTTACAAGGTTTGGTTGGCGATCTAGAATTCCATTTACTTTATAAAACAATTCAAGCAAGGACATAACTTGTCATTTCATGTGACTTCTTGATTCCAAACTTCACGAAACTTTTCCATGGATCAATATAGATGGATATTGATGCGAGACACATGAAACAAGTACATCCAGCATTTCCCAAGCATACTCTTTAGAAAGGGCAGCATGTAAGCAATGGTGCATGGTCCAAGTTTAAGTGGTGACTCATTTTCATATGTTTAACCTAACATCTCCATCACTACTTAACATGCCATGGTTGAGCTTAAACCCATTGTTTAACTGGTGACAAACACCTGGGGTGTTACAATAATCACGTCGTCGTCGAGTACAAGGGATTGAGAGTTTTACAGATGTTTAAGTTTTTCACTATTTTTTTTTGAAATCTTACAAGTTCATTTGATCCAACCTTCAGCTAAGACAGGATCAAATAAATGATTGAGTTGTACACAGTTAACTTCATGCAAAGAAAGCATTAACTCTACACAGTTTTCCAAAACTATCTAACTAATTCTTACGTTTCAACAGCTTAACTAGATAGCTAATTAGTGAAAGAAGCCAGTTTCTGATTAGGACTCGGCTAGTTTCTGATTTTCACTCTGGTTTGTTTTGCTTCCTTTCCATGTTGATCTGTCCTGAAATTTTCCCACTACCTCTGCTTGACTTGCCCAGCTACAAACATGCCTGCAACAACGGGCCGTGATTATTGATGATCCCCAGTCCTTTCTCACCTCTCAGAACGATATTTTTCTACTGCTCACCCTTCATGCGGATTGAAAATCTTTTTTTTTTTTTGCTGTTCTGTTGGTGGGCAAACAATCTTGTGATATTCACAACAGTAGAAAAAGCAAGGAAAAAACCGTCAAAACTGAACTATCTGCCCTTAACACTGAGCACTACTTTTTGGTTCCATAATGAATTGATGATTACTTTGGTTGAACTATGAGAGCAGAGTACTGATTATTTGTTGCTATCTGTTGCTTGATAAGTTCTACATTTTCTCGTGCCTTTTATATCCCTGTCCACTTATGTGTATCCTCTTATGAAGGTGATGGCCACCGCGGGAGCATCAGCAAGAACAGTAAAGCTGCACAGCTTAGGCTTCATCTCTCCCTGCTCGGACGGCTGGACCCTCCCTCTGCTCACCCAGCTTTCTTCACATTTCTCTGAAACAAGTGGTGGATGCTAGTGGCACACTGAAGGTTTCGGATTTTGAATTGAGCACACTATCTCAACAAGTCCGTGTAAGTAATTTGTCTTTTCCGATAAACAAGTGGGTGAAAACGATATTCTTATAGCATAGTAGAGGTTAATTACTAAAAACAGCCTAATCTTCAAGGCATCAGAAGCAGTAACTGTCCAAACCCTGTCAGCTACTATCTTTACCTGAGGTTTGTTCTTGGAAAAGCATCTAAAAGAGCATGCTCGCTCATGATCATCTAATTCTTAAGTTTTTATATTCATTTTCCTTTTTTTAGGGTGGAAAAGAACTTGAAGCTGTTGAATCAGCAGAGCTTGATGTGGAAGATGAAATTGGAAACAGTGAGAATGAGGATACTCAAGCTCGTGATGACTCTGATGAGGAAATGGATTCTGATGAGGAACAGCAGAGGTAATTTTGTGAACATCCACACCATCAGAACACAGAATTAAGTGATCAAATATCCTTATATTTCGAAAAAGAAAACTGTAATGTCAAAAGCTTGTAAGTAATCATTTGTTCACATCAGGTAGGATGCCCAGCTTGAGGAGATGCTTGATGAAGCTTATGAGCGCTTTGTAACTAAAAATGATATACGAGTACAGAGCACCAACTGGCATACCTCAATGTGGGAAAACAAAAACTGAACCAGACCTGGCCTTCAAACAACAGGTAACGCACATTCTAAGTGGTAGCAGTCAGAGAATTTTTTACCCCACATCTCTGGGTGTACAAATGTCCATAGTTAACCATGCTATATCAAATAGAAAACTCTGACTTGGTCACTAGGCCTGGGGCTTATCCTCGGCTTTCTTTGGCTGTCAAAAAAAAACAGAGAATAATCCAGTCAATAACTGAGAAAATAGAGAGGCATGTGCAAAGAAACTCGTTGAGGATGTCATCCACAGCACACATGATAGACCTTTGATATAAAAGTCCTGTGTTAACAATGTAGAATATTCACCAGAAGTTGTCCTAATCAATTTCAAATATAAATGAAAACATTATAAAGAATGCATATTGCATATATCCACTAAATGTAGATTAATTGGCCGCGTAAAGACTAATCACATAGCGGTATCCGGTAATCAGACAAGCACATACTCTTTTTCTCATCTCTGGTATGCAATTCTCACATGCATATGGAACACATTATTATAAGTAGATTTTGTGCATAGCTGCATACAACTTGCATGTCTGAGTTAGATTTTGGGTCGAATTAACTATAGTAGAGTTGAAAAATCCTGAATATGCCCTGGACAACTGTTGAGCAACCTTATCATATGCCAGCAAATTGGACATATATGGAGTGTGAACAACTAAAGGTCCTAAAGGTGCTGCTGTGTAACTTGTTAACTATAGCTTGCTAGAAAATTTTCTCAACCAAGAACTAGTACTAGATTCCTTTCCTGTAATCCTTTAGGTTTTAACTTGGCCTTCAAACTAGCTAGACCAAATTCTACAATTTCATGAATATCCACATTTCCAAGAATGAATAAACCAATGATCCAGGTGACACTAAATTCACCGTTTGCACAAACGTGCTCTTTACAACTAAGTATCCTCTTCATGGAAACAACAATTCTACTCTCTTGGGCAATTTGGACCACACAGAATGCTCTCATTTTCAATGACATCCAGCCAGAAATAGTGGCTAGTAGAAGAGTGTTTGACAAGGAAATAAAATTGCTTACGCACAGAGTCAGTGCAAGATCCTCTCAAGCTTTTGATGAGTGGCTACAACAAATCACTTAGCCACTGCTCTTAGGTTGATCTTTTTTGTTTCTTTCTCTGTTCCTTGATCTTCCTTCCTTTTGGGAGGCTGTAATGCTTTGTAAACTTGTTTCTGTTTTCATTTAATAAAATTTTCTGTAGGGGCGCAAGCCCCTCCAGCATTCTCAAAAAACGACTAAGTATCCTATGCAACTGCATTTAAGCGTTTGCATGGACATGTTTTTTTAGACTAAGTATCATATACAGCTGCAATATTTATTGTAATTCTTGCTCATATGAACTGTGACTAGGTGCTACATGAGATGTAGGTAAGCAGCACGTACATGACATACCTTAATTTCCAGGTAGAAACAACATGAAACCAACCCAGATGATACCATTCTAGGCAACTACTCCTGTTGTCCCAAATTATATGTTATTTTGGCTTTTCTAGGTCCATAACTTTGCTATGCACTTAGATATATAACTTTTGTTATGCATTAGATATACTCTATGTAAAGACTGTCTAGAAAAGCCAAAACGAACTGTAATTAGGAACAGAGGAAGCGGTAACAAATTCCGGTGACAAGCAAATCATGCATTCTTGTTCGACAATACGATGAGCAGTGTAACAAACTACATGTCTACATCACCGGAACGTCGCAACAACCACAATGGTAAAACACACAAGGTGCTTACCTCAACAGGCACACAACAAATCCAAGAAAAGATCTAGAGCGTGTTCAATGCAGTGTAGAAAGAAACACCCACGCACGCATGGCGTTCGACGAAATGAAAAGATACGCACAAAAGGGAAAACATGCCGTACCTTGATGCCAGGGAACGACATGCCGAGCTCCTCCTCGGGGATGAGGACGGGCCACTTCTCCCCGCCGTCGCGGAACATCTGCTCTGTGTCGATGAGCCGGCCCCGTGCGAGGATCTGGTCCCGGATGCCCTGCGCCGTAGCACCCTCAGCGGCGATGATGGCCTCCTCGGCTCCGTTGAGGTAGGTCACGAGGACCCGAGGGGGCGGGAGAGTCGGCTGCGACTTGGGGTCCGTGGACAGAGGGGGGAGGGGAGGCGGCGGAGCTCGACGGAGCAGGCCGGGTTGGAGTCCTTGGCCTTGCGACCGTTGCACTGCGCGAGGAGCTCCACTGCCGCCGCCTTCCGCGGGTCCAGAGGGCAGTACTCCACCACCACCTTGGACAAGAACTTAAGCATGCCTCCTCCTCTCGCCGCTGGCCCCGCCGCCTTCGCCGTCGTTGTCGCGCACTCGCCGCAGCCGCCTCTTTAGATGTTTCGTGCCTGGTTGCGTTGGGGAAGCTTTCCTGGCTCGGGCACGTATGGGTGGGAATCTGGACAATGGGTAGACGCGGACCCTCTAGGCTGCCGACAGCACCTTTGTTGGGCTGGTTGGGCCGTATCCAACCCGTAGATACGTATCGGCCCATGTATCTATAATTGATTAAATAAATTAAATAAAATGCATCTATAATTGATTAAATAATAAATTAAATGAAATGCGATATTCCGAGGATACGTATCTGCGTGGCTCGTGCCCACACGTCTGGACACCTGCGCCGCTGCCCCTCCCCTCGTCTGCCCGCCTATGCCTCGCCTTTTGCGCCCGTCCATAAGCACATAGGGCCCGCCCGTGCCAGTGGGGACCGCCTCCGCCTTCCCGCGCTTGACGCTGAGGCAAGACAGCAGAAAAGGCGAGGAGCGAGATGCAACATCTAGTTTTGAAACATCTAGATGCAACAATAGCAACATACGCCTAAAAACAAATAAAATATTTGAAAACATATGTCTGAAACACTTGCAAAAAACACATGAAAAACACCTAAAAACACTTGAAGCCATGGTAAACATACGCAACATCCAGATAAAACACTTGTACCATATGTGTGAAAACATCTGCAACATTCAGATAAACACACTTGCAACGTACGTAAAAAAAACATATGAAATATTGAGAATAGGAGCTTGCAACACACGTGTATAACCATTGTAACATCCTGATCTACTCTTGCAGAAACAATTGTAACATACATTTGAAACATCTAAACACTTGAAACAGACACTTGCAACATGCAGTTTTAGCGCGCATCTCCTTGCTGCCTGGGAGAATGGAGGCTCGTCGGTACGTGAAGTTCGTCGGAGGCAGTGGCCTGGCAGTGCTGGTAGGCAGTGGCTCGGCGAGGGCTGCGCGACGATAAGAGCATGGAGGCAGCGGCCTCGCCCCGCGCCTAGCATGGTCGGTAGTCGAGCGCCGTGACTCACAAGAGGCTGTGCGCTTGGCAGGGCTAGCAACCACGCCGTCGCGTTTCGCAGGCAGCCACGTGCCTAAACCAGAAGAGGGGCTACACGCTTGGCAGGGCTAGCAACCGCGCCGCTGCGTTTAGCGGGCAGCCGCGCACCAAAACCAGAAGAGGGCAGCCGCACGCCGCATCTGGTAGGGCTTGCGGTCGAGTGCCTGTGCGGGAGCGGAGCCGAGCGCTGTGAGACGTGCCATAGTTGATTTTGTCTTTTTAGACAAGCAACGCATGCGAGTGTCCGAACTTCCGGACGTCTTAGGCCCTGTTTGGTTGAGCTGTGGCTGTGGGAGAAAGCTGCTGTGAGCTGTGAGCTGTGGAAAAGCTGCTATGGGCTGTGAGCTGTAAAAAAGCTGAAAGCTATTTGGTTAAACAAGTATAAAATATACCTTTTATCTTTATCTCTCTTGAAACAACTATGGAAGAGCTTTTTATTCCACCAATTTTGAAAAGCGACAAAAGCCAAAAGCGGGTCAAACCAAATTTCAAAAATGAACTATTTAAAAAGTTATTACTCAAAAGACCTCCAAAAACAATTCCTTTGGTTGAGCTTTTGGCTTTTGGGGCCAAAAGCCAAAGCCAAAAGCCCAACCAAATAGGGCGTCTTAATAACAAAGTTCTGTGTTCACAAAATCTTGCGAGCTGAAACAGGTACTGGTCTAATATAGGAGACAGATATCACTAGACTGAAATGTCAAATGTGACGGCCTGGCACCGTGGCACTAGAAACTCCAAGTGTATCTATGTTATTACCAGATTGTACTCGGAACAAAAGGTGTAAACAGTTGGCTATTGAAATAGGCTTAGCATAGCGGCAGCTCTACCAAAGTTATTGACACAGCTAACATTTTCTGCAATCACACCACCAAGAACACCGAAACACCTTGGCTGGTAGCTTGGCTCACATCTTCAGTTCCGTCGTCCATGTCCCCTGAACACTGGGCCGTTTCGTTACGTGTCTGGTTCGCAGCTTCACCACTTTCCTGCCCAGGGAGTTCCTTAGCCTGGTGGCTTGGAGGAGTATTTCTTCTGGCGGTAAATTTCTCACACAGACCACTCGCTCGTTATGGTTTTCTGCACAACAACAAGGCTAGTTAGAAAATTGAGAACAAAACAAAAACCAATCATTTCATGAGAAAAACAAAACCAGTGTAGCTGTGGAAATTACAAAGATAAGACAACAAGAAAACAGCAGCTATAGGACAGCTGCGTTCAAGGAATTGTACAATCCAATCCCATAATAATTTTTTTCACTAGTGCAAAATACCAATCCGATCCTACAGGATCTTGCTTGCTTAGTGCATGCAATATTGTAATGGCCCCAAATATAGGATCAAACTGACAACACAAGAATCTGTATCCATCCAAAGAATTGTTGGTTGGCGTCCCTCTTATCCCACAAAAATTGCTAACCGGTCCTATTCCGTCCAATCCAAGATGGGTGTGACCATCCATCCTCCCAGCATTCATGAGGATCATGAAATGCGCACAATTCCAATGGAGGTTTTATCTTGACCATGGTATATTTAAACTAAGATATGTTCAACTTCAGGCATGTTATTCCAAACAGGTATTCAAGCTTGTGCAGAGAGAACAGACAAAAATTGGGCCAATAAGGATTCAAGGAGGGATGCTATCACAACCTTGACACATAGATAATAGATGGGAACAGGAAGATGGAAGTTCAAGTTCACATTCATATGATGAGATTCAAGGCTGGTATTTATATTTTCCATTTCTTTTTTATTTCCCTTCTTTCTTTCACACTTCTTCATCTCTTACCCTGTCTTGAGGTTTTCCTTTCTTCTTACTTTCTCCTCTCTCTGCCTTTCCTTTACTTTAACATTCTTTTACTCCTCATCCTTCTTTGTGCTTGCCTGTTGCACTTATTTTGCCAGTTCGGTTTATACATGTACAGCTCTCTTCTTTCATTAATGAAATTAAGGCAGGGGCCTCCCCTCCCGACTTCCACCTTCCAGAGAGAGAAGGAGAGAGAAGAGGAAGACCCAGAAATGGCCATGCTGTGCAATTTTGAACTGAACATGGCAGGTTAAGCTACATTGTATTCCTATAGCATCTTCTCAATGCCAATCCATACCATAAGTTGTATCCCTATCAGGAACCTAGTTCCACAGAATTCATAAATTGCAATGGAAAAGGAAAGTAACCAAGATCTTACTGTAAATTCCCTTTAAGTTAGGATGTTGACCACGGACAAGCTCTGTCACCACTTCTAAGTGCGGATTCTTTTCCTTAAAGGCTGGAAGATGTGCCTCCATGAAGGCCCTGCAATCAGAAAAGGTGCTAGTTGTTAAAGAGCAGAATCAGGCATTGATATCCAGTAATGAATAGTACTTCGTACTAACCAGCACCATGTTTGATCTGAAGCTCATACAGCTGCCACTAAACTATAGTGTACTGCTGTACAAGGAAAGCGCAATAGCTCGACCTAAAATCTGATGAACGAACAGAAGCACAGGCATAGAGTGCCTGATTCTATTAGTTGATCTAAATCGTGACTAAATGGGCGGCTCTTTTAACTCATTCCCAGACATCAGTACCCGCTAGTCCCACAACACATTTACTCGTCTGCAACGACGAATCCTTGGCTGGGCACAGTCGACTAACCATACGACCAATTCCCACATTGAAGAACATGTATTAGCAGTATCTCGACTAATTCTAGCAACAGAACTAAGGAAATCATACGAAAACACTTATATGGTCTAATGGTACTACTACCGAAGTGAGGAACCAAACTATTATATCATCATACCTGATGCCCCTGCTGCTCCCTCCCCAGTCGCAGTAGTTTACCACGAGCTTCTGCAGCTGCCAGACCCCCCTCAGCGCCATCCTTCCGAAGCCTAGAGGTCCCCGCAGTCACCACTCGCCGTCGCCGCCTCGCCGGAGCCCAGAGGTCGCGGATCCACGCGCTTTCCCGTCGGTGGAGAAGGAAGAAGAACACGACGCCTCGCCAGTAGGGCCGCTGGCTTCCGCGAAGGCTCGTCGCCGGCGGCCGCTGAGCGGCGGCGGCGCGTTGCCTGCGCGAGCCGCGAGTGCGTGCGGGAGGCGGCGCGAGTGAGGAACGGGAGGGGCTAGGGTCAGCCGGTCAGGTCACCTTGTTGGGCTGGTTGGCAACCTGCCTTTCGTCACATCATCGCAATCTTATGTGGCAGTTTAACTAAGAGCATCTCCAACCGATCCCTCGCTCAACCTCCTATCCATACTGTAAAAACAGCTCTCCAACCAATCCCTCGTCGACTCCCACCCGATGAGAGACCTCATCCATCGCCTCCCATCCCTCACATGTAGGGGACCGCACGAGATCCTCATCCACGGCGGGAGCAACCGCCGCGAGCCTGCGCGCGCTCGGACATCTCCGCTCGTGCCTGCTCTGCGTTGAGAGAGTTGATTCGTTTCATCACCACGAGCGGCGCGGGCGCGGCGAGGGGAGGGCCGCCTCCGACGGCCACGGGCGCGGCGCGGGGAGGGCCACCACGAGCGGCGTGGGCGAGGCAGCCTCTGCCGGCCACCACGAGCGCACGCGGGCGAGTCCGCCTCCGGCGCGGGCGAGGCTGCCTCTGCCGGCCACCACGAGCGGCGCGGGCTCCACAGCTGCCGCCCACTGCGCCACCGTCGGTTGCGCCACTGTCAGCTGCGCAACCTCAAGCAGGTCGGATTTCCCTTCCCGCTGCAGCCGCCGCCGCTTCCAATTGATGGATTTTGGCCCAGATCTGCCTCTTGCAGCGGAGCAGGCAACTCCCCGCAAGGAAATCGACCAACAAATATGTGGTAATCTCACGTGCCTTGTTCGAATTAATTCCTATATGAGTAGAGCAGAAATCCCCACTCGTCACTTCTCTGGTTGACAGTGCCAAGCTTTCACTGTTTATGATTTCTCATTGTTTTCTCATGCTTATGTTACTTAGCTACTACGATCTGTTTGATGAATTGCAGTAGCACAATCTTGTAGTTC